AATTAAAAATATCCAACTCTTGTCTCTTATTGGTTTGAAAATTTGTAATTTGTGTAATGAGTGTTATTTTATAAAAAACTTTATCCTCTACCGACAATAATCAAATTCTGTTAAGAGCATTTTTACAGTTTTATTTTGTATGAGATATACAAAATGGCTTAAAGCATTCAATGAAGACACATTTTAAATATAGAACACATATATTACTTTTGTATCAATATAGTGCATCAAGCATTAACTTTGAACAGTTTACATCCGTATACTAACTTCCAGTAAATTGATCACACGAAAAGTGTTTTCAAAAAAAATCAGCGTGCTTTTCATCGTGATCTCTACGACACTAATTATTGTGGGTGAGTTGGAAAAAAATTCTAAAATTATATTAAATTGCTTTTTAACTTTAATTTAAAACGTATTAAAAAATTTGAATTCAAAATTCAATGATTAACTTACTTGGAAATTCTAACTTTATGAAATATATTCAAAATAGAAGGTATGGAATGAAATGGTATTATTCAAAAGGATATGATCAATAATAGTCAAATGACACTTTGAATTCGCTTTTATTCTCCTTTGGAAACTGATATTGTTTTAATGTACATTGGAAATGAGATCAGGGTAATATTTACTAGTGATTAAAATTTTTTTAATTTTAAAATTAATTTTACTCATTCCAACTAGAAAATAGAAAGTCTGGTTAACAGATGTCTAAAAGATATCTACGAATTTACTGTCTTATATTTTCTTTGTGTTTTATAGTTCTATAAACATTTTCACGAGTTTCAAATTTCCCAACTGAACTCATCTGGCTTGGATAATTGAATATTTTTCATGGCAATTGTTATATTAATATTTTCAAATCACGTGTCATGTTCTTAATGAATTTATTTTCGTTAAAATGAAAAAAATACCATATGAATATTTCAACAGTGTGTAGAAGAAATTAATATATTTTGTATGATATTATTTGAATTCATGATGATTGATATTTTGTGGTCTTTAATACTAATCCAATTTAGCATAAACACTTTTGAATTACTTTAAAACATTTATAATGTCTTTAAATGCGAATCAGTTGTAATGATATATTAGAATCTACATTTCATTGAGCAAAAAATTAATAATCTTGAGAAATTAGATGGAATAATACGTCTAAATGTTAAAAAATTGTAGAATAACTAGATATTTTTGGGCCTTCTATTGAGATGAATACAAATGAGAAAAATAGGTCTGAGCACACTTTGTCTGTGCTAACACGACGAACTTCCCATTAGTAATTGTTCACAACGAATTCATATTGTTATAAACAATGCATGTTTGATAAAAGTTATATTTAGTTGTGAACAATAATGTCTAGTCAGTATCGACTCAATTTTTAAATGAAATTGTTATTGTTTGGCTTAAAAGTATTTTAAATAGTTTATCTTTTCATTTTTTTATTAGTTATTTTGTTATAAAAAAAACGGCTTAACTGAATTTGTTCAAGTTTCACTCAGATCTTCTTTATAATAATACCTTCCCAATTAATTTTGGTTCAAGTTGATATCTTGATTCGTTCTTAAGATATCGAAAACGAAAAAAATACTCACGTCCGTACATACATACATCATTCTAAAAATTGGTCAGTATGCTTGCAAATACCATGAAACGTGGAGATATGATGAAAATTCAAATTTCACCAATCAACCCAATTTTAATAACTTTCTAATGGGAAGTTAATAAAAATGAAAACAATAATTATCCGTTGACGATGTTCTTTTTTGACATTGGTTATATTACTAGAAACTATTATCAATGTAACCAATGTAAACTCAAGATCTACATATAAATCCTTAATAATCTTACTCTTACATTGCTAATATTGCCATACATTAATTTAACGTTGCTTATACCATTTACAATGTAAGAATGATTTTAGCAATGTAAAATAAAATTTTTTAGCAATGTATCCAATACAAAAGTAATGTTATAACAATGTAATCAATGTGAGACCCATCGAAATTTTTCGACTTGGGGTGTGTGTGTATGTAGTATGTATGTATGTACGGACGTGAGTATTTTTTTCGTTTTCGATATCTTAAGAACGAATCAAGATATCAACTTGAACCAAAATTAATTGGGAAGGTATTATTATAAAGAAGATCTGAGTGAAACTTGAACAAATTCAGTTAAGCCGTTTTTTTTATAACAAAATAACTAATAAAAAAATGAAAAGATAAACTATTTAAAATACTTTTAAGCCAAACAATAACAATTTCATTTAAAAATTGAGTCGATACTGACTAGACATTATTGTTCACAACTAAATATAACTTTTATCAAACATGCATTGTTTATAACAATATGAATTCGTTGTGAACAATTACTAATGGGAAGTTCGTCGTGTTAGCACAGACAAAGTGTGCTCAGACCTATTTTCTATATATAAAACACGATTCCTAATCATCCTGAAAATTTACAGATATCTTCATAAATGAATGAAGAATGTCTACTAAGGGCAGACTTAAGGGTAGTTTAATTTACTTTACTATGGAATAAATTATTCTATTGTATTATTGCAACAAAATAATAAACGGAGGTATTTCATAGTGCAACTAAAGTACAAAAGAAACAAGAAAAGAGACTGTAACTTGAATAAAAAGTCAGAAAGATAAACTATAGATATAATAGAAATCCCAGGAGACAACATCAACCAAGATCAGTCGACGTTCTTTGTCTTCTACTCTTGAGTGCGCAGAGTGATTCTTAAAAACAATTTGTACTACAATGTAGTCAACAATACTCATATTAGAAAAAAGTACATTTTTAAAAGGGACTGAAATTCAATAAATTTACTTATAGCAATAGTCAATTCAGTATTTCACACAGTAATAGTCACCTATACTGATATATACTATAAACATTTTTAAGAAGGTCTATTTTACAATAAAAGTATTAAATGTACCAACCTTGTATAAAGAAAATCATTAATTATTATGAAAAAACATTAAAATTCGAAAGTTCGGAATTAAGCACGAAATAGTTTTTAATTAAAAATTTGTTCTTTCAACCAATAAATCTCGTCGTGTTTTTTGGTATTTTCATACGCTTTCTTCACCTTTCTAATTTGAAATGAGAGAATCCCATTCCGTATATTTGATATTTCATGAAAATATACGGTAAGCTGACGAATTAAGGAAGAATGAAATTGGATAAAAGAAAAAAAGACAGAATTTGGAATAAAGAACGAAGAGCTAAAAGTGTAATAGAAAATGAGAACTCTGCGTTGAGTTGACTTAGAGGTATCGATTGAACATGCGTTCAAATATTTAAACGCTATCATTGGCAAGTCGTCTGCTACAACATGGTATAGGGACTTACAACGTTAGTTGAGGTACATGCTCAGAAATTGCAAGAATAAATGATTATGATCAAACAAACAATGATTCTTTTATGAAACAATTGAATTTATTTTTACTTTAGTTGATTACAATGAAAACTGTTAAGGAGGTCCTGCTATTGTGGTGTTGTTCCGTGATTATAAACAAATATTATTGTTACAAAAGTAATAAAGTAAATGTTTTATCTACCATGTATTTGAAAAAAAAGTATTGAATTATCTATGAAATCTACAAAATATAAAAAGTCTTTCTATTTTGAATTATTATTTGATTCAACTTATATTATTTCATTATCTACACAGAGTCCATCTCCGAAATATTTTACAAATGTGAGAATGACATGATCTCAGTTTAAATTAGGAAATAAATGTTGATTTTGTTGAAAAAAAAACTTCATTTTACAAATACTTTTAATTGCATGTACTGTTCTTCATTTAAAACTTCATGCGTGCTACTTCCATAGGAAACTTGACCATTGAAGTCAAATTTTCTCGTGTATTCGATCGTTTAGAAGATCTACAATTTTTGTTGATATCGTAATTAGTGAGATTGTATCGAAAATTAAAATTTATAGGTCCTGTCATCAATTTAGAAAGCAAAAATATGCTATAAATAAAGAAGCCGAAATGATGCTTCAAATAACAATCATTAACTTGGAATTTCGCTGTAATCAACTATATGGTCTTCTATGCACGGAATGTTGATTGGCATGAGATATGGTGTTAAACCAGTGTACTGAAGAAAGAACTACTCGGCAAATCGAAACTTTCGCTCTTTCGTTGTTTTACAGCGAAACTACCTCTCTTGTTCGTTACCACAATAACCTCTATAAGATTAAACCAATAAATATGAAGTTTATGCTTCGAACCCGACACTTTAATAATGGTCCAGTTGGTCGTACGGATTTTCTACTTATCGGTAAAGGACATCATACAGAGGCAGATATATTTCCATGTTCATGGGTACTAATACTCTACACATACGTACTCTTAATGGATTTTTTAATCTTTCATGTTACACATTTTTTCAATGGACCAATAAAATTCGACATGAATTGAGTGATTTCGCGCTACAAAAAGAAGCAATAAATAGATAAAATGCACTTTCACTGTTATTTATGTTTAAACGTAGCGATTTTATATATATGAATGTATACAATATTCTAAAGTAGAGTTGAAAACAAAAGTGACAGAAGATAATAGAACAACTTGAAGGGCATTAATGCAAGTTAAAGTTCTCATCTTTTTTGCATCTTATGGTAAAAAGGTAAGAGAGAAAAGTTGGACCGGAAAAGAGAACGTATACGTTGCATGTTTCTTATCTCACACGCACACTATTCTAAAGTAACGAAATAATGAATCAACCGTTTATCTCGTCTAGTGTAGGCGTGTCTACCAGCATTCCGCATTATCTTAATTTCTAACAGTATCTCATATCAACTACGTGCACTCCATAGGTAGCACGGACTCCTCTTTCAACAAAATCTTCCTATATCCTCGACTCATTCAACTAATTTAGCCCCCTATTGTGAATCACTTTCATCGAATTCAGCTTATGTTATCATTTTTCAGGCAAGTGATTAAAAGACTTGCAACATAATACAAGAATATATATATATAATCATACCGGTGTGGTGTAGGGTTGACAAGCAAGACGAATTCCATCATGTCGTAACTTTTCTTGCAGCAACATCTTTAACTGCATCCTTGGTATCCTAACAAGTTCAGCTTTCCCTTCTTCATATTCATCGACAAATTTTGTAAGTTCTTGACCTCCACTTGATGAACTAGCAGTTGGAGATGCTCTTTGAATTTCTTTATCACTTGGTGGTCTCTCAGACGATGTTCTTGATGATTTCAAACTGACGTTATCACATAAACAATCATTTGATTCTTCAAGCGTAAAGTAAACACTTGCTGCACCTTCTTCACGAAGTGTCTTGACAGATTGTAGTAATCTTGCACGGTGATTTTGATTAAAAACACCGATGGCATCAAGATCAGGATCTCCAATTTGTTTGCATATTTCTAAATCATCGTAACCGTTGTCAATGAAGGACTCTGAGTATTGACCAAGATGGAGTGACCGCAGCCACTCAACAACAATATTACTGGCAATAGTCATTTCTTCGACAAGATTATTTGTCACGACACCTCTTGAATGTTTTGAACGTTCGCAAAAAAGAAAATTTTTGTTTACATTCCACTGCTAATAGTATCTTGATAATCGACTTTTCTTGAGATAAAGTAAAACGTGGATTCCAGAGTGAATCCGTTAATCTTTCGTGACCAAATCACCACACTGCACTCACTGAAAACACAACACTTACACGAATGAAATAAGTATATCTAACAAATAGAATCCATAAGTAATTAAAAATTGAACCGGTATTTGAGGTTATACACACGGAAGATATTGAAGTGGGCGGAAGACGGTTTGAAGATTAGCCTAAGGCAAAAAAAAATCAACGAAAGGGAAGCAAAAAAAACTGTCAGGCGCTCTCGTTGTATAAGCCTGACGACCTTGGATCCCTCTCCCTCGTTTTCGTCGTCCCTTTCTTGAACTTCCACTTCTCCCTTTTGCACTGCGGGTAAATTTTGCTTTCTTTGTCTATCTTTCACAAAATTAAGTGCGGGCGGTTACCCGACTACTCTTCGTCTTTTACTTCTTTACCTTTTTATCAGTGCGTCGTGTTGTCTCGTAGACACCCGATTTCATCTTTTTAAGTCACTGTTGATTTTTCTCTCGAATTTTTTTGATAAAATATAATATCACTTTTTTGGTAAAAATCAATATTTAATTATTATAAATTAATTGGAGTTTAAATGTTATTTAACAGTTCTGAAAAGAAAAAAGATTCATAACTATCTGTTCGTTCATTCGAGTACTGCTTAATCCTTTATCTTTGACGTTCTCTAGCATACGGACAGCTTCTGAAACATACCATGCGGTACAACTGACAAACGTCTGCGCGCGCAAGTAATTCTTTATTGTTAGTAATCAAAATTCTAATCTTTTATTTAAATAACTTTTTTAAACTTCCACTTTTTTTTTGTTAAATATAGCTTTAAGCGATGCAAAGTAATTTCGAACACAATGGCCTAACTAAACATAATTCACCTTCTTTAGTCTTTTTTTTCGTAATCTATAATCGAAGTCAATCATTCCACGATATTAAGGGTAGAATAAATGGGGAATGCACACATATATCCAGAAGCCATTTAGGGAAAGTAATTTAATTTAAAACAGTCGTAGCACACGCGGCGAAATGTGCTGAATATTTGGAACACAATAATACACCTCGCTACAACACGGCACCCGGCTTGACTGAGCTGATCTACCGGTGAAAGAGTCACTCGCCCCACTCTATACTATCCCTACCATTTCATTTTCGCCAATCAGCGGATTGACGCGCGCGACGGTGAAACATTCCTTTTACTCCCTAACTATTTTACTTCTCAACGCAGATACGCATGCTGTATAAGCTGTTTTACTTAATTTCGATCATTAATTATTTATTATAATTCATTTAATTATTTATAATTGGGTTGAAATACCTTTCTATAATCTTAGAGTTTTTGAATTCTTTTACACATAATTTTTAAATTAAATGGATTAGAAAGCAATATCAGTTCATCCAGTAAAAAAAATTCTGAATTTCATTATATTTTAAGAATCAGACCAATTAGATTAATAGAATTTATGAATCACAATATTTAGATTCATGAAATATTCTAATTAATAGCTTTTATCCACCATTTTGACTGAATAACTGACTTTTAACTAGAAAACAAACGAAAAATACAATTGCACACAAACTCCGTAAAAAGTCAGTCGGTATAGTAGAAATACCACTCGGATCAAATAATCTACCTGAAGCAGTCCTGTAGGCTATTATTTGAAAATCAATATACATGTTTTTAGAAGAGGTGAGATTTTTAATGTTATGTCTAACAAAATTTTTCATCGATCGTGTATATTTTTTTGAGTATAATTAAATTACTTTATTAATGTAATTTCACTGATTTGATGCTTAGGATGTTTGAAAGAAATTAAAAATGATTTCGTTGAAAAAAAAAATGAAAAATATTTCTTATTTTACAATTTATTGATAAAAATAATGATCTTTAAATATTTATGATTAGTTTTTAAGAATTAATTGCATAATTAAACGAATGTACAAAATATTTGAAATAGATAATAATATTTGCATAATACGGAATATAATGAATAATTATAATTTGAATACTAGTTCAATAATGAATTAAGCAAACGGCTAGTTCTTTGGGCCGATTGTTTAAATTTGGATTTTCATCATATCTCCATGTTTCAGGATATTTGCAAGAATACGGACCAATTCTTCGAATGATGTGGGTGTATACGTATGTACGTATTTTTTTCGGATTGAAATATCGACTTCAACCAAAATTTATTCGAAAGATATGGTTATAAAGAAGATTTAGTTATAGTTTGAACAAATCCGGTTAAGGCGTTTTTTTTATAAAAAATAAACTAATAATGGATAGGTGAAAAGATTAACTATTGAAAATACTTTGAAGCGAAAAAATAACAATTTTATTAAAAAATGATGTCAATATTGACTAGAAATCATTGTTCACAACCATATATGATTCTTACCAATTACAAATTGTTTATAAAAATATGAATTCGTTATGAACAATTAAAAATTGTATCTTTCGATTAACTAATGCCTATATCATATGGATTTAGATGTTTACAACAGATTAATATTATTAATGATGAGATATGGCTCTTAACTGTGACGAATTGTTTATAACAATATGAATTTGTTATAAACAATTACTAATGGGAATTTCGTCGTATTAGCACAGACAAAGTGCGCTCAGACCTATTTTTTAATAATTTCATTTTAAGTTCAGGAAATATAAACATGGGTATTTTTAATACACAGCTGTAAGAACTTCAAACTATTTCGATTTTTTATATTATTTTTGTATGACATGATCTCAATTACTTGGGCCAGTCAAAGGACCCTTTAATTTTATTCAATATTATGCTACATATTGCAGACATCTGTAAATATGAACAAAGAAGAGAGGATTGGTTGTTTTTATTGTAAAGTAAGGTTTGAGGAAATTTGTAGTTAGTCTTAAATATCAGTGCTCTGCAGTGGTCTAGGCGTGACCCGGAAGGTCCACAGAACCAATTTCCCAGTGGAAATTTATAATTTATCGTGAGATTAAATTTCCGTTCCTTTACAATTATTTAATTGTTATAGAAAAGAAGTCGTTGTTAATCATGATACATAGTTAGTACATTTGCTTTAGTAACAACAGAAAATTTGTGTAAGATAAACTCCAATACCTTGCACACAACCCGTTTCCTAATATTTATAATAGATTTCATTGTTATAAATAGAAAGAGGGAGTTTCCATTTGTGTCAAACGGTTGGTAACTTTTTTTTTAGTAAAAAAAAAAATTACGCGTTGGAAGAATTCGAATATATTGCAAAAATATCTTTTTTTACTGTTTATAACAATTTAAAATTTGTTATTTAAATATTATCATGATCAATAATCATTTGTTATTAACAATATTCAATTGCTATGAACACAATTTCATGTTATCAACAATCATTATTGACTATTATATTGTCTTCAATGCTATTTTTACCATCCCAACACAAGTTTAAAGTTTTTTCATGGCTGATTCTGTTTTTAAAAAATTTTTTCTTTTATGAAATATTTCCATCATATCTCTGTACAATTATTTCAAACATTTAATATTCATATTTTCCATAAGATCTCGAAATTTTGTCTAAAAAATTATATAATTTATAAATTGAGAAATTCAGATAGTTTACCATTTTTCTAGTTTTTTAATTCTGCAAAAAAAATGACTGGACCCATTTTGCTAAAAACCTTATCAGTTCTAAGTTGCGTAATTACGCGTCGAATGTAGTTGGTTCAACGTCGATATCATCTTTTGTTCTCGAGATAATCGAGGCGAAAAATAATTCCGAACGCACATACGTACATACACACACACAGACGTCCACTGGAAAACGATCGTATTCGACTCTGGGGACCTTTAAACGTGGAGATATGTCAAAATTCGGGATTCGCAAAATCGGACCCATTACTATAACTTCCTACTGGGAAGTTAGTTATAAAGGTTAGATTTCAATAATCAGAATATTAAGAACTACCTATTTGAGATTTATAAAAAAAGCTTTTTCGAATACAATTAAATATAGGTGCTCCTTTGATTATAATATTTAATTTTAGGTCTGGTAATTATTCATCCGGACTCCTGTTACTTTTCCACAGTAAAGAAATTTAACTAAAACTCCATTGTCGGTTTCTGTGCTTCAAATTACTGGACGTAGTTTTGAAGGTTTAAACTATTTATTAGGTGCAATTTACATATTAGATATTTATTTCATGATTGGTCTGCGACTCTCAGGCAGAAATGAATAAAATTGTAACAGAGGCTTCTCAATGATCGATTTTGGCTCTCAAGGACGGTACGACTTTTTATGTTATTCCATGGCAGAGCAAGTAGGAGGGGGGGAGGTTCAAATAAATTATCTTATTGTTGTTCCACAGTATTTAAGGAACGCTCGATTTTCATTGTACTTTGCGACTTCTTAACGTCTGAAGGTTTCTTCATTCTGGCATTTTTTATCAGTTCTATTAAATTATCCTGTCAGCTGTGCAATTTTTAAAGTTCAATTTATATCAGAATTAGTATCTTAATTGTTGGTTGATCAATACTCGTGGATTAGAAAGTTAACGATGGAGCCTGCCGTTAAAAGATCAAAAGTTACATTTCGCGACAAGTAGGAGCACCAATATGAAAAACATGTAATTTCACTAGACATATAAATCAGTTCCATGCTTCATCTAATAAAGACTTCCCATTAACTTCACAGCAGCAAAATTGCTGAGTAGATAAGTAAGTAGAATTTTCCCGCCCGACCAAACCGATCGAGATTTGTGTCTGTGCTATTTTGGTTGGAGTCCGTGCTAAATTACCATCTAAGGGCAGCTCTGTTTTACCGACCGATAATTTACCACCCGATTCGACCGCGGTTTAAGTTTCCTATTTCTCTGCTACATGGCGATGTATCGATCTGCAGTCGGTGATTTTTACCGATCCAGGTAGCGCTGCTATGACGAGTAAATTTAAAAAAAAAGAATTTTTATGTCGATATTGTGTTCATATAATTAGCTTATAAGTTCGTCATATATATATGTATATATAACAAACACGCCGGTCAACCACGTGCGTTTCGATATGATGCTTAAACCAGCACAATCAAGAACAAAGATACCGTCCCATTTTTTGAAACTCCTTTGGCACTGTTAGTCGACAAGGGAATATAAAAGTAATGTATATAAGTACAGATATATGTGTGAAAAATATACTTATACATACGTTAGAAATTTTTGGAGGGCTGGAAAAGAGTTCTTTATCTTAATCATTTGTGCTACAACCCCATTTCAGTGACAGTTCTTTGATATTCTTTATAGTTTTGTTAAAAGTTAATGAAATTAATTTCAGCAAAGTCAAAAGTGTAAAAGTGTTCATCTAATAAAAATAGTGAATAAATACTTGTGAATACTCAAAGCGAATTCATATGTATTTGTGTTATTAGGTGAAGTGAAAAAATATTCAATTGAAGGTTAGTTATCTATTAATTCAATCTTCATTGTGTTTAGTATGTTTCAACGTCAAGTGCAATTATTTATTTAACTGAAAATGAATATTTTTCAGATGTCAGCTGAAATATGTTTTAAAATTCCATCCAAAATCGTTGTTCCCTATCTATGGGAACCCTTCACTGAGGGTAATGTGCTAATAAATAATTTATTCATGGCGATGAAGAATTGGAGAATAATGACTGGCTCTATAAATTACTCCATCTACCAATTTAATGAAACGATTGTGACATTGAAAATTTATCCAAACCTCAAAGCGTGGATTTTTGCCAGGGATTTTATAATGGAATTATCTTCTCTGAAGAAGTCAATGTTCAACAGATCCTGAACAAAAATTATCTTGTGATCAGCATTAAAAGGTATTTGAAAAATTAAAGACATAGAATTAATTACATCTTATTTATGAAAATATTTGAATGTAATAATACTTTTAATATTTCAGTGCCTACATACAGCCGTGGGAATTTTTTTTATTAACATTAATACCATCAGGATGGGCATGTGTTTATTTCGTAGAAGAAAAAAAAAATAATTCCATTGAGATGTATGGCAATGATTTGCGTAGAAATACACATACCTATTTCCTACCTCTGAATAATATTAT